TTTCCACGCAGTAACAGGGCCAGAGGCTGGTTAGGTGTACAGGGCTTCCCGTCTCAAGAAAAACTGAGTAACTTTGTGTTTGAAAAGTGGCAACCCTCTGTAAAAACAAACGGTGAGCCTATGGGCGAAACAGGTTGGTACGCAGTCATCTCATAGGAAATGTATTAGAGAAAAGTGCTTCCCTTTCAAACAGAATGATTGCGCATTGATACTGCACCATGGTCTAACCAGCCATGTCTACTATGGTGATGATGGTCAAATGTATGATGCCGTTGCTGAAAAAACCAACGTGATTTACGGCTTTGGTTGAACGAAATTCAGATGTGGCAGACTAATCTTATTTTGACTTGGCTGACTGTGTCCTTTTGTTTACTTAGCTCTGAGGAACACAATTCTCCTTGTCTACAGAAACGACAAAGTATATTCATAATGGACTACATAGAAACTACCTACGTGCAACCAAACTAATCCTGAAGAAAATGCCGTGCCAACTAGAAGCTATCTGTCTGACTCTGCCTTGCCAGACCAGCCGTAGGCAAGACTGATAAGTTGTCCGTAGAAGACTACTCTTGCAGGCTGTGGACGTTTGTTAAGAATGGGTCAAACGAACGTTAGGAGAAATTTCTGATCCAATGCAGATGCCATGTGGATAATCAATGATCCTAAAACTGCTTCTGTTTTGTAGTCCGTTTATCAGTGTTACCCCAACTTTAACCCTAGCGTCAACAAAGTGTTACGAAGTTTTATTCTGTCAGACGATTCTGGGTAGCCGATTAAAACCAAGAATTATTTAGAAAAGAAGGCTTCAATAAAAATTTATTGAGTTTTAGTTAGTCGAGTTTAACTTGTTCATCTGAGTTAGCAAACTTAAATGTCCCAAAAGATGTCTAATCAGCCTCTTTGAGATTCCACAAGCGGAGCCCATATTACAGTTCTCCAGAGGGTCAAAGATTTATTTAAAGCCTGTTTCTTCTAGTAATCAGTTTTCGGATAAGTGTCACGTTACTATATGCCGGTTCTACAAATTGTCAATAACTGAGAAATAACTAACAACGCAACAAAATCAACGTAAGCCTCTGCTGAAGTATGATTTACTTCTAAAGAAGTGGTCAGTATTACACATCAAAAAGGCTTTTTAGTGAGTTTTACTCATAGTACAGAAACGTCATTTCAGGAGAATAAATTTTACTTTTAAAAAATACACCCACGGATATCGGGTTAAGGGTGCCTGGAAATGCTGGTTTATAGTCGATAATTTTCCGTTTTTATCCTGAGTTGAGCCGGTCAAATAAACAAAAGCCATAAGCATGGGTGACTGTATCGAATAACGTCAATGAAGCAGAACAAGGTGGACTAATGTCATCGGATCATAGACTGGTAATAAGCAAGTATCACGTGCCCCACAACTCATCCTGTCAAACAGACTGAGGGTAACACGTACAAGCTGTAAACGGTTTTATTNATTTCTGATCCAATGCAGATGCCATGTGGATAATCAATGGTCCTAAAACTGCTCCTGTTTTGTGGTCCGTTTATCAGTGTTACCCCAACGTTAACCCTAGCGTCAACAAAATGTTACGAAGTTTTATTCTGTCAGACGATTCTGGGTAGCCGATTAAAACCAAGAATTATTTAGAAAAGAAGGCTTCAATAAAAATTTATTGAGTTTTAGTTAGTCGAGTTTAACTTGTTCATCTGAGTTAGCAAACTTAAATGTCCCAAAAGATGTCTAATCAGCCTCTTTGAGATTCCACAAGCGGAGCCCATATTACAGTTCTCCAGAGGGTCAAAGATTTATTTAAAGCCTGTTTCTTCTAGTAATCAGTTTTCGGATAAGTGTCACGTTACTATATGCCGGTTCTACAAATTGTCAATAACTGAGAAATAACTAACAAAGCAACAAAATCAACATAAGTCTCTGCTGAAGTATGATTTATTTCTAAAGAAGTGGTCAGCATTACACATCGAAAAGGCTTTTTAGTGAGTTTTACTCATAGTACAGAAACGTCATTTCAGGAGAATGAATTTTACTTTTAAAAAATACACCCACGGATATCGGGTTAAGGCTACCTGGAAATGCTGGTTTATAATCGATAATTTTCCGTTTTTATCCTGAGTTGAGCCGGTCAAATAAACAAAACCATAAGCATGGGTGACTGTATCGAATAACGTCAAGAAGCAGAACAAGGTGGACTAATGTCATCGGATCATAGACTGGTAATAAGCAAGTATCACGTGCCCCACAACTCATCCTGTCAAACAGACTGAGGGTAACACGTACAAGCTGTAAACGGTTTTATTCGAAGCCTGTAACTGCATGTTTTATCCAATAGCTACACTTGGCCTGGTGGGGTTTGTAAGCCAAGTCCGAACTGGGGTTGAGGTGGTTCATCAAGCTGGTTCACTTGGATGTGAATTCCAAGGTCGGCCCTGTTGCAGCAGACAGCCCAATTCAAATTGCCCGTAAGGAGGCGGTGACATATAGATGGTGACTGGACCTGTTTGTTTTGGCTATGCTTCCACATGCAGATAAACTACAACGTGCTCAGTTGGTTGGCCGTCCGTGATTTTCATGCTCAATATGTTTGACCGGTTAAGCTGGATACGACTGGGTCAGTAAAACCTAGATAAAATACGTGACCCAACGTATATCAATTTATTTTACAGTAATTTCCTTCGGTGGGGGATTTGGCGGCTCTCCGGACTAAGTGGAGCTCAAAATTGAGATCGAAGGAGCCATCACGGCAATCCGGCCAGACAGTTCCGTTTGAAGTTTTTGTCTATTGAGCCTGAGGTGGCACCACACATGCATGTTCATAAGCATATTGCACCAATGCAGACAATATCTAGGTACCCAGTGCGACTGGAGCCACTTCATCCAACATTCAAACTTAGCATCCATGATTTGAAGTTAATGCCTTTCCACATCACGTCATTCACCATCTGCTTCATCTCATGGACCTGTTTGGAAACAAGGTAAGGCTAATTCAAGATAACATCATAGTCCATGGATTGCGGAAGTATGGATACATTATTGCTGTAGATTCGGATACCTGATATTTACTGATGGAAGCAAAATCTGTCGGCTTCATCCTATAAGTTCACGAAATGTTTCACTGTAACCACATTTGCGCTAATTTTCCAACACACACAACTCTTGGTTTCTTTTTACGAATAAGCGTTTTCAGATTCTCAGCCGACTGAATCGAGCCTAAATCTGCTTCTATTCAAATCCATTCCATATCCACGCAAACAATCCAACTTACAGATGACAAATGTATGAATGCAATTCATAAAATTACTGCCACGTAAGCTAACGTTTGTCAGATGAGACAGAGGATGCCGCATGTCGAAAATAGATAGATTCGCATCCGTAATATATTACCTTCTGTTTTTTATACTGGCTTTGTTGGCTGAATGTGCCGACAGAATTCCTTAAAATAATCATCCTGTGGGATATACACCGTTTTCTTTCGCTCTCTATTCAGCAAGAAATAATAAAACCGCCGTTTCCAGGATCCGCCTACTACATGCCCCATTACTTTTTCAGCAGCGGAGACAGTGTCAAGGCGTTTTTCCTTCCGGAAATATTATTGGCAATGTGATGAAATACCGATACTTGGGCGCATTCACTGGTACCTGATCAGATGGCTAGTGATCTGTTAGCCGAGTGTGGAAATTGATCTACAGTGATTTGCAAGTCTATTTATTATCCCGGCGAACAGTTCAAACGTACCAAGGAAAGTGCATTCTGACCAGTAACCAAAAAAAATAGATGAGTACGTAGGGGCTAGGACAATACGTGTGAGTGAAGTGCCAGGGTCAGCAAACAGATCCATCTGATCTACGGCTGAAGGGAGTACACGAACCACCGGGGCGAAACTTACTTGTGGGTTGCAAATAATTCTTATCCTCAGATAGGAGTTACGAGAATATAGACATCTTACGAATAGCTCTTAGTGTAGATTTGGCTTCGTTTTCGCCTTTTTAGAAATCATTGAGCCGGCGCAGCCTGCGCGGTCTCCTCGATCTTATGCGCTGCTTGAACACCCTATCAGCGAAATGTACTCACTCTTGAAGTAAGTGTTGATAACAGAGTCAACGAAATCCCACTTAAACATCTAACTGAATTTCCACCTGAACCCATTATACAGAGGCCGTTTCATTTTTCTGTTGGTGCGAGATGTCACAACATATTTTCTAGAAGAATATCGTAAATGACAAATTTATCTATCATTTATTAAGACACAAGTTAACATCGAATTAGTTTGCAAATGATTGAGTAGCGTATACATTTTCTGATCAGAGAATTCCACTTTCTTCGTATGCATCACGTTTTTATCCGTGTTGTGGGAACAGCTGTAGATGCATAATTAAGGGAATTCAGGAGCTATCTTCACTGAGTTGAGTTTGTGTAGATTTGGTAGCTGACATTGATTCTCTTCAAGCATACTTAAAGTAGGTGAACAAGTTATAACTGAGGACAAATAACTTTGAAATCATAGCTCGAGTTGGGTGCTCCCACTTTCCTTTCTTGTTAGGTAGCCCCTTGCATGTTCTCTTTTAAAGTTTATCCATACATATTTCAGTCGAACGTCACTTGCAATAAGTTTCTAGAAAAAATTGGAAATTCAGTTGTAAGAGCTTTTTGACAGTTTCACTTCAAGGCGACTGATGAAAAATAGAGCGCCACTGAAGTCACTGCCTGCATGGACGTTTCTGACCATACTCTCAGTACCAAAGCAGATATACATGTTCCCTCGTGCACGCACACCAGTTTATCATAATATAATGGAAGTAATAAGTGTGTACGCAACAGCTGGCGATTGACCTCGTGCGCTGTGATGTGTATAGCAAGTAACAGGGTGCACGTTGACGGAGGGTCGGATACATGGGCAAGCGAGAGTTAGAAAACAGACAATAGGACGAGCACTATTACATTTTTCTTCTTTTGAATAAGTAGGTGCACTCTACACTAAAGTGAATGGCAGAGCACTTACACGGAACACACGATCAATTATTGGTCTGATTGGTGTAGCTGAGTGTTGCAGTTTATTGCCTGCTCGCTGTCCTGAAAGACAAAATGGCGCGTTACGTTCAGTGCTGTTTTTGATGCTCTGAAATGCGGGGCTATGATTTCTCGCTGATTCCAAATTGATTGCACGAAATGCAACCTGGCTGGTTGAGGATATTCGGACTCCCATTTGATTTGCATGTAATGAAGGGAGGTTGCGACGACTTGCAGCCGGGCTGGTTGAGTGGGCATAGATAGGCCTGAATTTTTCACTTCCGTGAAGAGGTACGGATGGAGCACATTTAGTGGATGATAGGAAATCAGTGTTCCTCCTGAAAAACAAGCGGAATAATTTATTTCGTGGTTACTAGCGTAAAACGAAACCTTTAGTGTTTGATCGTTTTATGGTAAACGTCCCATGGGATTCTCTCTCCTGCTACTACTCTTTCTCAATCCGTTTGTATATGCAGTCCGAAACAAGCAGAAGGCTAGATCGATCGACAAAAATACAAAATATCCAACATATCCACTTTGAGAAACGCACGTAAACCTCAGTTTGGTGTTTTTATCCAAATATGCTGCACTATACTTACAGCACTGAAAGCATACATATGTTCATAATATGCTGGATTTTTTCATGTCAAACGCTTCAGCACTTAAAGATCCGTTCATCTAATCGCATGGAAGTGTCAGAACGCAGATTTATACGGGAATGGAAAGTACATATTTGATGTTCTATAGACAGTAAAGGTCCGTTATATACATATATATGTATGTTATATATATTCCATGTTTCCTCACTACTCATGTCTGAAATGACCTCTTTTTCTAGGTTGATCATACTAGCTGTCCCATACTAAATGAACGCGTCCGGACTCAAGCACTACCTTCACTATAGACCGTCAGCCGCGCGTGTGAGATGTGAAGCTCGAATCCCCAAACTAATAGGCATACCTGTTACCACTAATTGGTAGCATGTTCCAGATATTTAAACAGGTGAACGAGCGTTTATTTGAGTGGTATTTTTGGTTGGTCTGAAGTCTCTGAAGCCTGGCTTCGGCATGCCCATCAAGTTATTGTTGAGCCTGCCAGGACAGGGTTGCTAAATATATTGTTGTTGACTCACCCTTTGCTCCGTCTTTCTTTATATTCCAATGAAGGTGGTTGCCCGGTCCTAATATCATCCCCAGGCATTCTGTCCATCATTTGAGGGAATCTTTCTTCGCCATGCTTGCTTCTTGGAAATGTTGCCAATTCATCACCTTCTGGAGTAGCGCCTGCATCCACAAAGCCACTGTCTCGCTGTCCCTCGCCGGCCACATGACCAGGTGGACGACCTCCTACAGTTTCGGGCAGTTTGATAATATGTTCGTTTTTTGAATAAGTGACGGCCTTGAGCAGTTCCCCGAGTGGTGGATCAGCTTTAAAGGGTAGTGAAATAAGATTAGACTTCACTGCTTCCTCCACACCTTTTCTTCTTACATTTTGGAATCGAGCGACTCTTTGTTCCCATTGCTGGACTACGCAATCTGGATTCGGGTGATCTGGCCAAAAGCGCTGCAGAATTGCCTGGGTTTAAACAGAAGTGCGAAACTAGATTTCACGGTAATTAAACATTTAGTTGAGGATTTAGACAAACCCCGTATGATATATATCCACCGTTATGCAACATTTCCTTGAAAATATGTAAAAGGTAAGGAGAGAAAATGTAGATTGCCTTGTAGACACAACCCAAACAGCGAATCTTTTTGAAACGCATTAATGTTCAAAAAATTGTTGACTGCCGAATGACCTTGACTGTGATTCCGTTTGGACTACGTCTTGGAAATGCTTGGACCCCACAAGCCCAACACCTGCTCTGTCTGCGGTAATTTTTTTGTGATGGCACATCCATCCAATGACTACTTGCTTAAAACTGTTGGAAATTTGAAGTCTGTTGTCTACAGAGCTGAATTTTGCTTGGTTACAAACGATCATAGATGAAATTCTGGAAAACAGAGTAACACCTCTGTCACCTGGTCAAAATCTACGAAACCAAAATCTTCGAGATACCTTCACTTATACAGGTCGATGGAACACTTGGCCTCAACAGGAAGTGCATAAAACCACCGGAAATGGATCGAACGATTCTAACTAAATGTTCTGACGATGGTTAATATTTAGTTTTCATTGGACAGCAGAAATCACATCCAGGATAGGCGGAGTTCTGTACACTGAGAAAGTCTATTCCAAACGTGTTGGATAGGAGTGAAGCACCGACTTTTACCAAATAAATTGTATTGCAAATCCATCCGTGTGCCTACCCCAACATTTGGTACTGTCTTCAGTTTTTATTTAGACTATTCTTCTCCAATTTGCACAATCAAGAGAAGTGCGCGATCAAAAAATCCAGGGTTTTTGTGAGTAGGCTTTTGATAAAACGATCTTTCGCTAAATAAGTCTACCTATCAACAAAGCCAATTCACGTAATTCACCTGTTTGTCGAAGGTTATTCTCCGCGGCTCTCCTGAATCAGATACAATCGTAGGAAAGATATGTTTAGCTTATTAAGCGACTTAAGACAACCAGATATGCACTACAGTGACAGAGTTAAATCTTTGTTCTAAATGAAATTGTCAGTCAATATCGTAAGGGCAAACTGTTCCATATATAGCACTATTTTTACAGCAGTTTGTAATATGCATTCTGGGATTAGGAGGGTACCGCATATCACGCGTGACGTAAATGTCAAACCCGGGAGTTATTTGAGGAGCATCTTTTCAACCCCTGATGGCTTCGTGTTACATGTATAATTGTGTTTTACCCCACAACATTGCTAAAACCATACCGTACGACTTTGTGTTTTTGGTGAGGATTACCAGCACTGATAAAATATTTGGCTTTCGACTCCGTTTTCTTTATTGAGGAGCACAGAATTTCTGCAGTTCTGTCAGAAATGTCAGAGGAAAAATTGCAGAACATTCAACACCTATCAGCGTTCAACAGTTTACATCATCACGCCAATATATTTGGTTCACCAGTCTGCTGCTGTGCTGATGTGTGACGCTTGTGTGATCCGCTTGACTTAACCTAATTAGATCCAGGATAAAATTTGGGCTAGCTTGTGTCGTTTCGTTTTATTCATATATTCGTATGACTTAGAATTTTCCGCATTGTCTCGGCGAGGTTGGTGGCTATTTTTATTAGGATGCATCATCATTTTGGCAAATAAAGGAAGCTTGAGGTTTGCAGCAAGTTGTGATGACACTGCTTGAAATGGTGACGAAAAGTGTACAGGCCAGTTTCGAGAAGGTCGATGGCAACTAAGGCTACCTATATAACGTTATTTCAAGAGAAGTTTCTTTTGTATAGAAGGTGGAGCCGAAGTTCCTGATCGATGTGCACGACTTCGTGTGTTAACATATTGCTCCTCTGACTGACAAAAGATGTAGAATTAAAAAACACCGGTGACTATGATGTCTGTCTGTCAAAAGCAAACCGCTGCAACGCTTGATTTCAGTCAGTTTGTAACTTGCTAAGTGCCTATCAAGCATAAAGAGAACAGTCATTGTGGATACCGAAATGGGAAAATGTAGTCATATCTATGGCAGAATAAATCATCGACTATTTAGTCATATTCACTATTTAGCTACCGATGTAACGGGGGTACTACTGATGGGAAGGCACGCGAGGAGTATGTGTTGTTCTTGGAATCTCGCTTTGCGTCCCTTGAAAAGGAGAGATCTGTTGCGAAATTTGTGGAGTCGCTTTGTAACATGTGCCTGGACTTGAGCAATGTATGATTAGAGTCAATGAACATCCAGAAAAGTTCAAGAAGCCGCGTTCAGGAGAAGATGGATGTCCAGTTTTTGTAAATAAGATGCAAATGAGAGCTTTACTTCCCTGTCCAATGGTCTGTAACCGGTCAGTTGGCATTTTCGAATAAATAACTGCGGCGAAGGCCTTCTTGCTTTCACCGATAGTCATATTTTTGGCCCTTAGACTCCCGGCAGACCCGGGAAGAATTGGTGCCTATTGGGATGTACCGGTGACATCAGCTGATTTAATGTTTCGCACTGACCACATTTTAAACAGGGGGGAGGTGCTAAACGCATCTCATAAACATATTAGTTGGGCGTGTTGTGTTTCTCGACAACAATTGCCAACCGAATACAATTATTTTGATGTACCAGGGTCAGATTCATCCAATAGCAGCCACGAAATCACCCGCTGGTTTGTCACCGTCCAACAAAACATTTCATCCCGTTTTTCTTTACAACGCATCTGTGACGTTATCTGGATGTCAGATACCTTTTTAACTCCGAAAGATTCTCCTGCTTGGGCTATTTTTTAACCATCTTTTGGCCTTTCTCGGAAATGGTTTATAGATTCAACTATTTTGGAGAGGAGTGAAAAACAACTTGAAACGCATATTTATCCACTCAGTTTGAACCTACTCGATACCTACACGTCTGAAGTTACTATAAACGAGTGAGCACACGCATTCCCAATCATTCTCCGCCACGTCAGCTCTTTGCGCTTCTGCAGAGAAATACTGTCGTCTCAGGAACGGTTTGACAACTTCATATATAGGTTCTTCCAAAAGTCAAAATCTGCAAACCCAGAATAATTCTGTTTTGTCATTTTCTGAGTGCAAATTGTCAAGCTATCATTCAGATCTACGGCATTCTTTGATAAAATTGTCCTCCTCACCAGTTTGTTGAAAGAATAACTATCCGTAAAGATGAAATTCAGTGGGTGTTTTCGTGCAGCAAACTCTACGGTGACCGGCTTTTTAGGTACTTTGACAGTTTGCATGCGTGGTTAAATGGCGTATGGGCTCTGGTGTTATTGCATCCCTTTTTGAGAAGCTGAAAATCCATATGAATACGTCCTGAGTACGTCGCCGATTTAGTTAGAAGTAGAACCGGTGATTCGTCACTGCTTCTACTAGCAGGCGCTTTCGGGGACATCAACACAGTGTCGTGATACGGAAGGTTAGTAAAATACTGAGAGTCAAAGCCTTGAAGAATGTATGACTTTTAGGAGGCAACTAACGTCCCAAGTGGTGATGATCTCCAAGCAGTACTGCGAATAGTCCGTGTGGCTTAATGAAGAGCTTTTGGGGTGCGATAAATTTACCTCTTAGAATATTTCTAGATCTGTTCCCGCTAAGTGAACTTATTTAGCTATTGCATGAATCTTATTCTCACATGCAGCAAAGAAACCAGTAAAAAAATACAGATCACGAACCTGAAGGAATGTATCTACAAATACAATCTCACTTTCGCAAAAGGGACTTTGCCTGACCAGTATGACAACTTATTTTTCAGACATACTCATTTAATTGCATGAAGTGAAACGCAAATTTAATATTTTTTTGCAGAACAGAGGAGGAATAAGAACACTGAAAGTTTACCTCAGTTGTCTACAGAAAAACACCAAAGTTTACTTTGTTCATCTTTTGCTGTCTGAGTTGTAACAAAATCGGAACTGAAAAAATCTAGAACGGGTCCACTAAAACAGCTAAAGACAAAAGCACTTTCACGAACAACTAAAGTGGAAACTTCAGTGTAACCATGAAGCGTCAGATCTTCGGTACCAATTATCGGGTGACCTTGCTGTATCCAAATGTCGACGCAAAACATAAGTTGATGGCCGGGTGATTTCTTCCTAGCATCAGACAAGTGACCGGTAGTCCAGTGCTTGCTTGGTGTTTCAAATAGATAGACCATCAGATGAGAGACCAGGAGACGCTAGTGAATCTACGGAAAAACAAAAGATAAACGGTATGCCATCCGCATGTCAACACACGAACTTTAATCACTTGTCCATAGGATAAGTTTCAATTCAGATTGATGTTTTCCAGCCGTGTCACTCTGTTGGCACTTTGAGCTGGACAGCACGCGGGGAGAGCCAGAATTCTCAAGTTTTCCCCAAACTCTAATCCATTATTTTCACCCTTCCCTGTTTTGTACGAACGCGATTCGCTCAAATAGTAGACTTGTCAACAGAAGATATCGGTTGTACGGAACGGGAAACTATTCACAGGAAGCTCCTCCGGTCAAAATGAGTACTGAGCAATCAGCTGTGTTAATTACGAATTTGCGACCATTTAGCACAAGACGACATGTTTCTATTCTTATGTTTCAGAATACCATTGTGTTAAAAAAAATTACCTTTCGCGGCAAATCACCTGAGACGTGAAGTAATCACCTGTTGTCATCAAGGGATTTTAAGACAGTTAAAAACTCTCGGACATTCTACAATCTATCTCAGAAAACACCGCAAGGTAAAAATACTTGTGAGAAAGTTTGTTAAACTGAAGTATGATTGGGGTCTGCTTGGACACCGGAAAGTCGAACAAAGATAACAGTAACAAAAAGAGATTCCTGAATAGAAACTAGGTGTCCTCCCTCCAAAGCATTGCAGCAAAAGTG